GATGTGGAGTGATAGGCCACTATGAGGCACCCACTATGGGTTCTGGGAACTGAACTCAGGTCCTCACTAAGAGCAGGAAGCACTCTGAACCACTGCGCCGTCTCTCCAGCCACTGGTGTGTGTGTGTGTGTGTGTGTGTGTGTGTGTGTGTGTGTGTGTGTGTGTATGTCTGCTTTCTTGTCCCTGTCTCTGGGTCATTATTCTTATGTTGTCTTATCCCCACCTGTCAACAGTGGCCTTAACCTGATGTTATCTGATTGCTATGCATGCTTGTATATAGATTGGAGATAGGAAGTTAATCCAATCAGCAGATAGAAATAATAATTAGTTTAATTGTATCGTTAAAAAATATGGATAGTGTGGAGGAGCCCCAAAACAGCTTGACCACACAGCTGCCATGGCAGGCTCAGGGGCCTGGACACAGCTTCTGTGACAGGCTTACTGGCAGGCAACACCCAGATCCAGGAAAAGCCTTAAGCTGACTCCACCCAGGCATGGGGAAGTACCTAACCTTCCAAACATTAGATAAGGTGGCCAGATGTCCCTGAGTCTAACTTACACCTATTTTTGTTTTATAGCTACCTCTAGATAAAGGTCAGCCAATCAGGGTCCTGAACTCTGGAAATCCCCTTACCCCAACCTCTGCTATGATAAAAACACCACACCACCACGTGAGTTCAGGGCTCTCTGCTCTCACTGCTGTGTGGGACAGACAGACCAAGCCCCAGAGTTTGAAAATAAAGGCTCTTTGCTTTTCCATTCGGGATTCGGTCTCTGTGGTGATCTTTTGGGGGTCCCCGAGATCTGGGCATAACAGGTAGAAGTTGGTTGCAGATACAACTTTTAAGTATTTATAAAATGAGTGAAAATTTAAAACTGGGTAAAATATTGGATTGATGGTTTCAGAAACAAGAATTCATCCAATTTTGTGGGGAAGTGTACATACACAAACTGTAAGAATGCTAATTTACTATAATGGGATTATGTTTCATATTTCCCATTTGCCTAAATATTTTTTAATATAAAGACAAATTAAGTTATGAGGAAAGTAAACATTTATTTCTATATCATGGTTGTCACTGGGGATATGAATTGAAGCCTAAGTTAGCATAACATATAAAATCTAGATCCTGGAGCTGGAGAAATAATTCAGTGGCAAATAGCATTCACTGCTCTTGCAGAGAACCCTGAGTCCATTCCTGGCATCCACGTGGCAGCTCATAACCATCTGTAACTCCCTCTTCTGGTCTCCATGGGCTCCTGCATGAATGTGGCACAGAGACATACACCCAGGTTCACATACAGATAATAAAATAAATATTTTTTAAAATAAATAAAGTGACCTAGATCTTCTGAATGACAAGACCTTTCCGGTTAGATGAGGCCGAATGAACAGGGTTCTCTTTTAAGAGTAACATGACATTTCAAGATCGGAACTTAGGCTTATTCATGACTAACTCTGAAACACGCAGATGTACTGGGCACTTCACTAAGTTAGAATCACAGAGCACAAATGTTACCAAACCAGCTTGATGCAAATAAAAAATTAAATAAATAAATAAATAAATAAATAAATAAATAAATAAATAAATAAATAAAATGCACCATTGTTTTTCTCTCTGTGCTCTCTTTCTGGGTCTGGTATACTTGGGCCTTTTTTGTCTGGCATTTCCTCAAGGAAACTTATGTTATTATAAGTTTGCTTTAATTTGTCTATGATGAATCATACATTAAAAAAAAAAAACCAACCCAGTGTAACAGGAATAATCTAGAAGATTGCCCTTAACTTCCAGCACATCGAATCCTATCAGAGAAGGCTGTATGGTTCACAAGCATAATTTCAGTTACGACATAGCTCTCTAAGCAGTAATTCAGCTTCACTAGAAAGACTCAGATTACATATATAAAGGAACCTGAATCATTAAGGGTAAAATTGAAGTCTATCTTTTAACAAAATTGATGTGCATATATTTATATCACACAGCACTAAGGCATTTTGAAAAAAAAATAGTAAAACATCTACATAATGAATTCCAGAATGTAAGAACAAATGTTCCTCGTGGAATCTTATTGCATCTATGGGTATAGGCTGGAGGAAATAGACTGATAGATGCTTTCTTCTAGGTAGGGCTGGAGAGATGGCTCAGTAGGTAAGAGCGCTAGTTACTCTTTCAGAGGACCAGAGTTCAGTCCCCAGTAGCCATCTTGGATGGCTTAAGACCTCCTGCAACTCCAGCTCCAGGGATCTGATGAACTCCTCTGGTCTCTGAAGGTCCCTGTACACACAAGCAAAGTAAATCTTAAACAAAAATACTTTCTCCCCACAATGGTCTCATTTCTCTCAGGAGACAATGATTATATATGAGGGCATCTGGAGGTTTCTTTGCTGAAGTTCAGCCTTGGTGGTCCCAAAGTAGATGTTGATGATTCTGCGTTTGGAAGCGTGTGCAACTATCTATAACTCTAGTTCCTAGGAATCTGATGTCTTTTTCTGGTCTCCATGGGCTCCTGCATGAATATGGCACATAGACATACACCCAGGTTGCCATAGAGATAAAATAGATATTTTTTTAAATAAATAAAGTAAAACCTAGCATCCTCGCACGGTCAGTGAGCTTATCCTGTCTGGTTCTTGAGAATAGGAGAGGTCTGAGCCATTGCCTGGTGTGTCACATGCTCCCTCACAGATACTTGAAAAGGAGCTGTGGGAAGAGGGAGCCTCTGGTAAAAGCAGAGCACCAGCCTCTCCTGCCAGGAGGACTCAGGAGGAACGCACCTCACCAGAAAACAAAGCAGTAACCACACTGGGAAAAAGCTGGCCTCTCAGATTCCTATTTCCTAGTGGCGTCTGTGTGTGATGGGTAGACAGAATGCCAGTGCATTCCATGATTGTCACAGAAACACTGCCCCCTTTATTCTCCTATTAAAATTTTTATGGCCAGTGCTAAAAGGGGCTGGAGCTAAGGCTCAGCCAATCAGAGCAATTACTGGTCCCCAATGTCAAGTCCCTTACCAGCATGTCAGCACTGTAATCACATCCACATTATGATTTTTTCCCCGACAGCCCTCATTTGGAAAGTTGAGCCTCAAAAATGGCATCCTGAACCCAGTACGTCCTGATGATGTTGACAATTTGCCAGTGACCTATTCTCTAAAATATTCCCCACTACACAGCAAAGGTGCTGTGGAGTATTTCGATTTTCTTGTTAGCCCAAAACCCAGGCAGTGGTGGTACACGCCTTTAATCCCAGCACTTGGGAGGCAGAGGCAAGCGGATCTCTGTGAGTTTGAGGCCAGCCTGGTCTACAAAGCAAGTTTCAAGAAAGGTGCAAAACTACACAGAGAAACCCTGTCTTGAAAAACAAAAACAAAACAAAACAAAAACCTCAGTGTTTCAAGGTTGCACTGTTACCACCTTCAATGATTTAGTCTCTACACACAGCAAAGAGAGGAAACCAGTTTAGCATTGCTTTATTATATTCCTTATCAAGAAGTATTATTTTACACATTCAATGGGTGTTTATTTTTAATCTGACATGTTTCAAAAGCAATTTAATCATCAAATTAAAGTTGTTTAAAACATTGAAAAATAAACTTCAATTGCTCTTTTGATAGTTAACTGCTTCTTTATAAATGTAAGAAAAAATAGTCTGTACATTTACATAAAACCCGGGGGTAGGGGATAAAAGCATTTAAAAAAAAAAAGCAAGCTGTTTTTCTTACACACTAAAATAGCACAATTTTCACCTTATGCATGTGAGAAAAGAATAATATTCTATGATGCTGTGAACAATAACAACAACAACAAAAAAAAAAAACCCTGACAATTTCAGAAGTATACCAAGAAAATGACTCTCGGGGTAAAATGAAAAGTGTAAAGTTAGATGCACGTGTAATTGAGGACCTCAGCATTGCTGGAGAAGGACTAAGGCTTTCTTGCCGAGGCTGGGTTTATTTGGCACAGCAGTTCTGGCCCATCCAAAGACTCACCACATGTAGTCCCAGCTGGCCTCCAGCTCCTCACATAGCTATGGAGAACCCTGAACTTCCTTGATCCTCCTGTTCCACCTCTCAAGTGCTGGAACCATGCTTGTTTGTTTTACAAGATGCTTGGAATCAAATCCTGGGCTGGCTTGGAGCAAGCCAGGCAGGCATGCAGGTGACTGAACTACACCTCCCTTCGCAGACCTCTTTCTTGATTTCATATTCCAAATAAGAAGAGGTCTTAAAAAATGGCTTGCCTGATAACTTCACCAAACCAAAGGGCAGCTCTTTTGGTTTGAGCAAGAAGAAAATGCAGGGTGAGGCCCAGGAGAACGCCAAGAGCATCTAAGGCCACCCTCACTGCCGTTCACAGGTCGGCTGGCTTCACTCCTTGGCCTTCCCAACTGGTCTGCTTGTTTGTCGGTCTCTGAACACTACATGCTCCATCGGCTTGTCCTCCCTAAGTGACAGTTTCATCTTTCTCCCATGGATCCTAAATTCCTGTTTCTTCTGTCATGATAAATTCCCCCTAACAAAGCAAACTGATAAAAAGTTAACTCACCCTGAAGGATGATTGAGTTTCTAGAAGGTTTTCCACCTAGGTGGATCTGCTGGAGTTCTTTGGAGCAGCTCTGGCAGGCAGGAAAAGGAACCCAGGAGGCGGGCTGAGCTTCTGGACTGGCGCCAGACCTCCCAAATAGGGTGTCAGTGGGTGCTGTCAAGAAAGCTGCAGCTCAGCCGGCGGTGGTGGCGCTCGCCTTTAATCCCAGCACTCGGGAGGCAGAGCCAGGCGGATCTCTGTGAGTTCGAGGCCAGCCTGGTCTACAGAGTGAGTTCCAGGACAGGCACCAAAACTACACGGAGAAACCCTGTCTCGAAAAACAAACAACAAAAAAGAAAGAAAGAAACGAGAGAAAGAGAGGAAGGAAGGAAGGAAAGAAAGGAAGAAAGGAAGGAAGGAAGGAAGGAAGGAAGGAAGGAAGGAAGGAAGGAAGGAAGGAAGGAAGGAAGGAAGGAAGCTGTGGCTGGAGTGTGGGGAAGAGCCCGGGAGTCTGTGGCTCTAAGGACAGCAACACTTGGTCCCCAGTATCTGCTTTCGGGAAGCTTTGCCTCCCAGCACCACAAAGCCTCCAAACTTAAAAGGCAGTGTCAATTAGCTCTGCATCAAAAGCAAGAGTGATGGTATCTGCCTGTAATTCTAGTATTCAAAGGCTGGGGCAGGAGGATTGTGAGTTTGTGGCCACCCTGGGATATGTAGAGATACTGCCCCCCCCCAAAAAATATAAATGAAGAGGAGGAGGAAGAGAGAAGAAAAGTAGAAGACAAAATAAAGGTGGGGGGGTGATAAAGGATGGATGTAACTTCAGCAGAGATCAGCACTAGGTCCCAAGAAAACCATGTCATTTCTGTACATTCCTGAGGGTCCCAGTAGTGTAAGGGGCAAGGGGGTGGATCCTGTAGTGGGCTTCTAATATTTGAATGTACAAATCTTTACATATTCTGGGAAGTGAATCCATTTTTCCATGTACCTTTCTCTTTCTTTCCCACTAAAACTAGAATATACATTTCTAAATTGAAACAAATTACACAAGCAGGCTGAGCTGACACCTTCAGGTGTCACACAATGCACCGTGACCAGGCAGGAGGAAGTCTGCCCCTTTAAAGCCCCAATTTCCTGTTACAAGATGAGCCACACCCAGCCTTATCTTCAATAATTTCCATTTTCCTCTTGGTTTAAGTTGCATTGTAAATATGCCGCTCTGGTGCGCACTTTTGTAGAAATACTCACTGGCTTCAGACTGTGCTGAAATAAAGAAATCGCTGCCCTGCACCACAGGCTAGCTTGCCAAACACTGTTTCCAAAGTCCAATAAAGTATTTGATAGTGAAATCAGAGAGAGGCAAGTCCGAACTTTACAAAAGTTTTATGTAATTTGTATTAACATTTCTGTCCTGAAACATTCTTCAAATCATGTTACTTAATGCTTGGCTTGATTCCTAAGCCATCCTTAGGAGTGTGTGGTGACATGAATTGCTACAACTGAGCCGTTTGTAGACTAATATTTTACCCGATTCATTTGTCAGAAAAATATCTTCAGGGCAGGGCGGGTCCTTTACAGACCCTTGGCTAACTCTAAGACTACAGCATGAGCTTTGCTGGTTCTCTATTTTAATCCTTGTACTTTTTGAAAAATGGTCAGCAACAAACCACTTTAACGACACAAATTGGTAGGGGGAAGGCTGTAAGATGTAGAAAAGTCCATTATATGTGCATACACTCCTGGACTCACAATGTGGTTGTATCTTAGGAACACTCAGTGGAGACACATGCACCGCACCCATGTCATGACCCGGGGATAGACCAGGAACCGCAGCCCACTGGCCCTGCTGAGCACTGCAAGAATGTCACACACAGCACACAGCCAGCCTGCAAAAGATCAGAATTCCGCAAATGGTTTCTCCTGAATATGTGTCAATTTCACACTAGACTAAAGTCAGAATATCACAAGCCAATATAACTCAAGACCATTTTGTATAAGTAGTGACTCTGTTTTACAGTATCGTCGGTTCAAATCTGGAGTAACCGCTAAGGCCATGTTGAATTGTAACCCTGTGCTGTTATCTCTTTGTGCATGTTTCTGCCAATGTAAGAAATTTGGGTTCCAAGTTGTTTAGAAAGTCGAGTCCCTCTTCTTCCTGCTTTTCACTGCAGCAGCCTACAGACCCTGCTGGAGATCCTCTGCCTTCGTAGTTATAGGTGAGGACGTAGTCTTGGGATGGGATGTGGTCTTCATTCTGATTACAAGCATGCAATTTCTGTAAAGTCCAAAAAAGAGGGATTGTATTATTTCTTTAAACAACTTTAATATATGAACAGAAAATTTATTTTATTTACCTTTTATGTTTAATTTTTAACCAGTGTGTCCTCTAATGGAGTCCTACACACAAAAAATGCACATGATTGGTCTCTATTACAGCCATATCATAAATCAGTATAGTTTGCATTTTTAATAATCCATAAAAATATAAAATAGGTCTACAAATGCAATTTCTAAGTACATTTAAGTCATCATGAAATATTTATACCCAAATGTTATGTCTATAGTTGAGGTTAGTTCACAAAATGGAGACAATATATGCCAAGTGGTTGGAGTTTGTATGTGGATATCGAATGGTCCTAGTTTTAAGTAACTTTCGTTTACTAACTTGTGTTACTTTAAGTTGCATTCTCCTCAAATATCACTTTGTTATTTTGGAAACTAGTGATGGAAATGCAATGCATGAAAGCATACTTCTTAAGCCCATCAGTGTACAGTGAATATAAACTAAACCTCTATTGCGTGCAATGACAAAATATATTTAAAAAATTACTGCACTCCAAAGTAGCCAAAAAGCAGAGATATATCCCTAGAAAATCACTGAAATTAAATTCATCAGCTTAACTCACACTGCAGAAACTGTGCTTTGGTTGTGAACAGCCAACCCTTTGATGATCACTCTGGCCTCGGGGCTGTGTCCTGCTGGTCTGTCTTCCAAACTTAAGGCTCCCTTTGCTGACCTGGCTGTGCTGTGCAGTCCTCCGCTAACCCTCAGCTGGTGGCCAGCTGCTACCCATACCTCCCATGACCAGTTATGGCACTGCAGGGCATTCCTAAGGGAGCGTCTGGACCTCTGTCCCTTCCCATGATCTTACGTGATTGCCGTCTTCAAATATAAAACAGGTAAACACCTGACTATGACAAATTAGAAACAAAACAAATGCTATGGACATGCAGTAACCAAGGGCCCTCTTCTAGAATACTGCTCGTGTTCTGACCAGCACAGAGCTAACCGTGTCTGGTACAGTGTTTGCCACAAAGGCACCAATGCCCTCTGGTACAGATACGGAATCAGTGCCAGCAAGAATGGTCAAACGGGATGCCTTACCCTGGCCCCACATACAAATCACATGTGAAATTTTGTATACACACACACACACACACACACACACACACACGCACGCACGCACGCACGCACGCACGCTCGCTCGCACGCACGCGCGCACACACACACCAATGGAATTCGAATCCTCCAGAATGAAGCAAAGGAATTAGTATTTCTAAAAGCTTTCCAATGTTGATGTGGACTGAGATTCACTCATTCAATCCTTTCTTTCACAGCATTGCTTCTCTCTAGATGAGACACTTTATATTTGCACAGTATGCCTTATGTATTGGAAATAATTCATATGATAGTGTGCTGTAGTTTTCAAAATTCCTAAGAATAAATTTCAAATGTCTTCACACACTGGGTTCTTTAAACATTCTACATTGCATATCTATGTGACCACTCACCACAACCTATAAATATGTGTAACAATAACTAGCCCATTTAGAATAAAGTAGAAAAATAAAATAAGTAAAAAAAAAATGTATAGCCTAAGTAAAGCATATTAATCTTTAACCTAAAACTGCATTCAGATGTTTATGTTTTCATAGCAAAATACAAGTCTGATGTGGAAAATATGTATTTGTGAGGAACTAGAATTTACCTCACATTCTTGATTTTTTTTTTATCACAGGACGTTATAAGATAGATGTACACCTAAAAATGGATCTTTGGGGACAGATATTAGAGGCCTCTGGTCCTCATAAGATTCTAGAAACTGAGTGTGACAGAGGGATCAAAATATTTAAAAATTAAATATTACAAATTCAAAGCATTATCTAAATGACCAGAACTAACAAGAGAAGGCACATAAAACACCATCGCAAAGCAGTTTCTGGAAATGTACATTATCATCAGTGTTCTATTGTTCTCTACTTGCGATGAAAGCATCTCGGGACACTCACTTCGCCGAGGCGGGGCTGAGTGAAACTGTGCCACTCTGAGTAAGTGTATCTGCAATTGTCGCTCTCCATGTGTCCACCTCTGCAGGAATCCAGTGTGTGGTGATGCCCAGCCACACGGCAGGAGTCTAAGGTCTGGTGCCCCTTCATCATCTCAATTGTCTCCTGCCCACCATTTCTCATTCCCGATCCCATTGTTCCACAGAGGCCTTGGCTGGAGTTGTTGGCAGTCTGGGTGGTGAATCCATTGGCAGAGCACTACATTATAATAAAACAAGACAACGGTGGGTGGGTGGGGGTTGTCAGAGAATTTCACACATTGCAGAAAGCAGTCAGAGTGATGATGTTGTCATCAATCCAAACATCAAAGACTAAGCTTGAATTAATACTATCAAAGAGTGGGAAAAATAGAACTGGAAGGTAAACTTGTTTTATTAAGTTCATTAAGTAGCACTCTAGAAGCTCTGGAACACTGGCAGATGGAAAATTTACAATTTACAAGATTCCAACTATTTACAAATATAAACAGACTCCCAAATACCATCACAGGGATGGATTTTAAAACTACAGAAATAATTATTCACCAAAGAAATTACTTACCACCCTGTCATCCCCAGGTGCTTCAGTGTTTGATATAATTAAATTTTGCTGAGCTAAATCTTCAGGAAAATGCTTTCCTTTCCGGGCAGTAACAACTCCACATACTAAAGTCAGCAGCACCGCTGAGTAAAAATAAGGAGAGATGTATTTTTAAAAGAACATACTTAATTTACCAGACATACAAAAGTGACCATCCTTTATGGCTTATGCTTTGGGCCACAGGAGGACAATAAGAACATTGAATCATGCTTCTGTCGAGTTATCTTGGTCTTGTGAAATTCACTGGCACAATTTAAAGTATGCAATAATCACACATGAAAGTGTTTAGAATCATGAGTTCAACTGTAGACCTTAAAAGTCTCTAACATTTATTTAAGTCAAACATTGAAGATATTTACTTTTTCCCAAATGATCAGTTTGCCAATTGAAAAATAAAAATTAAAATTGAAAAAATAACTTTTCTCAGAACAGATTTGTCTCCAATAAACATAATTAAGCACATTAAGCACATTTTGTATCTTATTTAGACTTTTATCCTACATCATAAAAATAGGAGACTTAAGATAATATGATTGCTAAACCAGCAATTTACAGTAGTCCAGAAGAATGGCTAGCACACTGGCAAACCACAGCTTCTCTTCAAGCCCACCACGTTTGTGTATGACCCATGACCTAAGTTTTTTTTTTTTTTTTTTTTTTTTTTTTTGGTTTTTTGAGACAGGATTTCTCTGTGTAGCTTTGCGCCTCTCCTGGAACTCACTTGGTAGTCCAGGCTGGCCTCGAACTCACAGAGATCCTCCTGGCTCTGCCTGACCTAAGATTTTTTAAGCCTTTAAGTTGTTGAAAGAAGAAAGTAGCAATAATTCATGATATGAAAATTATAGGAAGCTGTTTTAATCCCAGAACTTGAGAGGCAGAGGCAGGAAAATCTTTATGAGTTCAAGGCCAGCATGGTCTACATACGTGAGTTCAAAGGTAGCCAGAGCTGTATAGTGAGACCCTGTCTCAAAAATGAACAAAACAACAACAAAACCAAACCAAAAAATATGCAAACACAATAATTATAAGAAACTCAAATTTTAGCGTGCAGATTTGAAGTGCTGAGGGAACACAGCGATGCCTTTCGCACACATATTCTCAGGGACCGATGACCTCACACACACAGTTTTTTACTGAGATTACCGAGTCTACCTAGTACAATTTTCTGAAATTTAGTAGGTGTTCAAGATATATTTATTTTGGGGGCTTGAAAAAATAATAAATGTATGTTAGACATTTAGATGTTCATATCTGATCATTTCTTATCAGTGAACTCATTGGACTGCAAAGAGTAGGTTACCACCATTGCCCCCATAAATGAGAAAAAGGAAGCAGAATTAAGTAAACTAAAGACTGTTTAACAATTTTGTCCAAGGGTGAAACCTGTCTCAGAAAGGCTCTTGTTCCCTCAAATAGTGACTTTTGAAGCACAAATCGGCTATCATAGACTACAAAGGCAGCTTGTAAAAGGAACTCGCCCCTGGTAGATGCTTGTCTGTATTGACTTCGCAAGATTCTTTCTGACACTCAGATCTTTCATTTTGCATTTTAACTTCAAGTGAGCGAAAGTACTTACAAAATAGCAGTGCGATGCCCAACAAGATGGCAAGGATGGCCCACTTCCCCAAGGTGACCCCTGAACTCCTTGACCTGGCCATACACTGGCTAGGATGAGTACAGTCACACAGGTTGACTCTCAAGAGTTTGGTCGTGGATTGGCCTGCTCTGTCTTTTACACTCACAGGAATGGTGTATTCTTGAACATCAGCATTTTTCCGATAGGATAGGCGGGCAGCTGTGTCTTTAAGAAAATCAAAAAGATTCATTTGGATTGATTGATTTCAGGTGGAGAGTTGTACACATGTAAGTGCTCATACATGCAGATCCCATAAGAACCTCAGCTATCATTCCCCAGGAACTGACCACCTTGATTCTTGAGACAAGAACTCCTGTTGCCCAGTACTTACAGATTAAGCTAGGCTTGCTGGCCACCAAGCATGGGGACCTACCTCCTCCCCACCACCAGTATTACAAACAGGTACTACTCTTCCTGAGTTTTCATGTGGGCTCTGGGGACTGAACTCAGGTCTCCACGCTTGCATGACAATCACTTTATCAATTGAACTCTCTCTAGCCCAGTGTTATTTTTAACGATTACTTATTCTTTCTTACGAACCTACTCCACCACTCTTATTGTAAAATACCTACCTGCTAAATAAAAAAAAAAAAAACTGCAAAGGGGGCTGCCTTGATGCTTCCACCCTTTCAGGAATTAATATTACCTTAGACATGTTTCTCCTTGTAATTCTATGAAAGACAGCTTTAAAGAATAAATTTGGATTCAGATCAGGAATGCACACCTGAATTTCTAGCATCTGAAACTAAGAAGGCCAAAAGGGAACAATGAAATTGAGGCTAGCCTGAGCTACATAGTGAGCTCCTATTTCAAAAGGCGAAAATAATAATGATAATAATAATAATAATAACCAATAATAATCTGGTATTGAAATGACCTAGCAACATTCCAGTAATATCTAATTTCCCCTGATCGATACAGAATAAGAATTCTAGGTTGACTATAAATGTAGAGGTCAAAAATTTTCCTTAATTCCAGCTCATATTCTATTTAAGAATCTATACCTGAATAGAGAACATTCTCAGTTTTCATGCTCTAAGCCAGTTACCTTCTACCATCTCTCCATTAACTCTCTGGAAAAAGCAATGTTTCAAAGAGCTCAATACTTTCTATATGATTAATGCCTTGTATATGGAAATAATCTCCCTAGCAGAGCTAATTGTACTACTTCCCATTATAAAAACATGGCCATTTACATCATAATACTTCCTTTTTATCAACAATGATAGTCAACTTCCCACAATGGTTTTGATAGCATATTTGAATAATGTTATTCTCAATTGACCAAAGCTCTATAGATGTTCAGGGGCAATTATAACATCCTTGGGCTTCTCTAACAGACAAAAATGATGTCACAGTGGCACAAAATACAGCCCAGAAAGCATCTGGAATTTGCACAGCTTAAATTTCTGTTAGAGCTTTGGGGGTTTGACTACATCTTATACCCGAAAGCTTGCTAGAGCCCTGTGAATGGTTCCTGGGTTATACTGAACACTTCAGCATCACCAGTGTCTAAAGGGAGATTGTGCAAATCACTGACCTTTTCCAAGATGGCTGACCAAGCCATAGCTATGTCATATATTTGTAATAGTGCAACAACCTTGGATTTTCCTCATCAATCAACCCTGCCCTCTTCCAGTGATCTCCTGACACTACTGTCATCTGTATAAGACATACATCTGGATGAAGAATGGTCTCCTTTCCACAGTCTCAATGCATACCCCACTGTCACCTACCATACAAAGGTCAGTCTCCTCAGCTTGGCACATAAGACTTATCACCACATAACTTCACCCTTCCTTACATCCGAACACTCAGAATTCCTGAGAAAATCTCCTAAACCCAGATACTACAAAAGCATTCATTTCCCTATTGTGTTTTTTTCCCATATGCATATTCTTTAATCAAAACATTGACTAAGCAATCACTTTTTAAGTAGTTATTAGCTGCTAGTCACTGGGCTCAGTGCTGAAAGTGAGAATATGGATTAAGAATGCTGTGAGAAAAGACAGTTGGTAAACAGCAGTCATACAAGGTGTGAAGTGTGATTAACATGTGATGCAAAAGGTCACATGTTCCTCCTTATACTTCTGGGATGAGTTCTCAGAGTTCTAGTAGCTGACCTGAAGTAGTGGCTCCCTGACCCATCCCTATACATATACTCAGGATGTGCAGCTTATCTGACCAATAATAGGTAATGCATACATTTTAAGTATGAAACTAAGACACAGTGAGGGTGATTTTTCTAGGACAGAATGGACAGCACATATAAAACTTAGTAGCATGAAAGAACATGGTATTAGGAGCTAAAGAGATAACTCCATCTTTGAGAACACTTACTGCTTTTTCTGAGGGCCAGAGTTCATTTTTCAGCTACATTGGACAGCTCACAACTTTCTATAACTCCAGCTTCAGGAAATCTGACAATATGACACCCTCTTTTAGCCTCTATGGACATGCACACACATGGTGCACACACACACACACACACACACACACAAACAAACACTATAGATAGACGATTACACATGCACATACACTTATACATGCACACACAGGCACATGCATTGGAAAAGGCTAATTTAATATTCTAAACTTTTGCATCACACTTTATGTAAATTAACATGTAAACCCTCCAGTAGTTAATTTGCTACTTCAAATCATATGAATCATTATTTTTCTGGAATACCATTAACTCGGTTGATGGTCCAGATTCTGTTGACTTCTGGAGAAGAGCTTGCCAAGTTGAACTGAAAGGGAGGGCCGTTGACAGGCTCATCAGCATCCACAGCTGAAATGTCCGTATACCCCATCTTTGGCTTGCAGATAACAAGATAATCTTGAAGTATCACTGGTGCATTGTCATTCACATCCTCAATGTTCACTGCAAGTGTTCCTGTGCATGATTTGCCCTCTGAGAAGAGAAAGGGACAAGGTTGAGTGCAGTTCTCTCAGAGTGTCCAAAGAGGAAAATAAATTTCAATACATACACACACACACACACACACACACACACATACATACACAAACAAATATAAATTTTAAGTCTAGGTCCTACACATGAGAGAAAACATGTGTCATTTGTCTTTCTGAGTCTAGCTTGTTTCTCTTAACATAATGATCTTTAGTTGTGTCTATTTGCTGCAAATGTCACTATTTCATTTTTCTTTACAGAGACATGAAATGTCATTGTGTATATGTGCCATGTTTTCTTTATTTTTCCTTGCATTTAAACTGGTTCTATTTCTCAGCTCTTATGCAGCAATGAATATGATACATGGGTTGCTTTGAGGTATGTTGACTTAGAGTCCTGCAGGTATATACCCATCAGTGATACAGCTAGAATCTATATTTCCTGAAAACATAATCTTTGCTTATTTGATGAATAGTAAATAAGAATATGAATGAATATGAAGAAAGCTACAGATTATCTAATATGGTTCCTGCAGCTTATCAGATACAAGTTTCAACAAACCTTTTGCCTGAGTTACTATAAATAATAGAAACAAATGCTGAGTTGCAAACTTTCCTTTCTTGGGCTCCCATAAGGAGGATTCAATATATTAAATCCAGGCTCCACAGCCAGAGGTTCTAATTCAGTGAGTATAAGATAATGTTTACACGTTGACATTATTATTATTTAAATTAAACCACAGGTAGAGGAAATTTACTTTAAAACCAGAATTCAAGTTTAGAAGCATTTAATAGTCACCTGAATGAGTAAAAACCCCTAGGTAAAGTGACACAAAGATATCTGGAGGAGTCTGAGGAGACCATTGCATAGTCTTATGGTTAGGTTTGGTCATTGACCTTTACCACGAAGTGGTGCAAGAACTAAGTTCCTACAGATGGACCATAAAGATACATAAGAGTTGTGTTATCTAGCTAAGCATAATGGCTCACACCTATAAACCCAGCACAGGGGAAGCTAAGGCAGGAGAATTGCCACAGCTTCAAGACCAGCCTTAGTTACATGGTGGGTTTGAGGTCAGCTTGGACTACAGAGTAAGACCATGTCAACAACAACAAAAGCATCTTTCTGAGTGTGGAGGTGTAAGCCTATAACCAAAGCACTCAGTATGCTGAGGCAGGAAGAGCAGGATTAATAAAGGTCATCCTTGGCTACACAGTGAATTCAAAAGCAGCTTTGGCTAAATAATACCACCTTATCAGAAACTAAACTGACAAAACCAGAAATAAAGAGTATCTTCTCACCAAAGTCATCTTGTAGGACAACAAGAGAGATACTGGTCTACCAGATAATTTTCAAGAATTATGTATAGTTACCATAGATTATTTCTGCACAAGAATAATTGCAATTTGTTCTTCCATTCTATTTTAAAATACTTAATTAAAACTTTGTTACCTTGGTCTATTGCCATGACTGTAATATTATATAAGTCATTTCTTGGAGTCATGGCTTCTCTGTCTAGGACTTTTGATATGGTGAGCAACCCCGAAACTTCTTCAATGCTGACCCATTCTTTAGGATCCTGCAACTTTTTATACCTGTTAATAAAATAAAATTGTCTAAGTCTTTGGCATCAGAACACATCTCAAAATAAGTTACCTGTTTCAATTATGACAACTGCATTAGCACATGGTTGCTGGATTTATGTACCTTAAGCCATTGCTTTTCTTGGTTTCAGGATCGTAGGCCTTATAGCCATTGATCTTGGACCCCACTGCTGAGTTTTCTTTGATCCGCACATATTGCTCAGGGGGGTTGCATTCTGGCCCCTCGTCCTGATCCCTCACATGAACTGTAACCAAGGCCCGGTTCATGGTGGGTACTCGGCTTGCAACTTCTCTGATGAATGGAGCTTCATTGTTCACTCCAATCTCTAGGGTCACTTGACGGTTTTCTTCATAATCTAGTGGCTTTAAAATAAAGGATATGCATGTCAGCTCAGTGTGGAGTATATTTGGTGTGGCAGACCACAAGAATATATTATAGAGATTCAGCTGTGTATTAAAGCTATACTTTGACCGGCCAAAGGTCTGTCAAAAGGCAAGTCATTTATTATGAATATTTGGTGCTATCTAGCCTTTAATATTCCAGCTGTCTTCTGCTATGAAATTCTTTCATGCCCAAATATTCCCAAATGAATTGGCAAACAATTCAGCTGCTCAGACCTGCTGAACTTCTAGGTAACTAATTTCCCTGCCAGTACTTGGAGAAGGTCATGTAGGCAAAGACAAGCTGGTGGGAGACACATAGTTTTGTTTCTTGTGCTAATGAAGCTCAGACCACCCTCTTGCCTTCAGGCCTAGTGACTCTCTAGAGTAATAGACTAAGAACAAAAGAGATTAATATCTTTCTGTAGAGGAGAAAGAATAGCATGACCAGGGAGAAGAGAAGAACACAGAGGTAATGTAGATGGTAAGGCAGAACTCTTGAGCCATGAGTAGAGATCAGGTAGAGATAGAGGGAGAAGAAACAGAGGATCAAGATGAGGCGAAAAGCATAGGAGCTTAGTTGTTAGCAGGACTTTGAGGGAACAGTAAAAGAGAGGCAAAGAGGAACTGAGTGTCAGGACAGAACTGAAGCTATATAGACAGGATTTCATCCCAGAGAAATAAAGTAGAGGGATAAAGAGCTTGGTGTACCTAGATTTATTCTTGTCCTGAATGCCTGAGAGAGCTGTAGCTGAAAAGATGGAATTTGTCTTAGAGGAATAAAGTTAACAGACATAAGAGCATAGTGAACGTAGATTTTTTTTCCCCTCAGATATCCCACGCCGGACGTAGCGAAATCCTCAGACCCTCAGTAAGCCATAATTTGGTATTTCAAGTAGCTGGACATTTTTATCATTCAGGCCAAAACTGCATAATAAAATCATGCTCATGTTTTGTTAACAGGGACTTCTCTTCCTTGCTAGAGCTATGATCATGTGCTAACCAGGCTTTACAAAGGGTCACCTTCAAAACCTCCACAGATGAATTTACAAAGCCATGGGAAAGAAATCCCTCAACAATTTTTTTCATTCTTTTAAGAAAAATTATTCTCAACCTAGAAGTATTGCAGAATTATGTCAGTGTCTTAAGAGGTTGAGATTGGGGCCAACTGATCTTGGCATTTGACAAATTTTGTAAAATTGGATGGTAACTTCAACAAAATTCAAAAGGTGAAAGTATTTTATTTACTTTCTGACTGTTTTCTTTTCGTGGGGTTCTGGGAACCTGGTTGGTTTGTTTCTGTCATTGTTTATTTTCATCTTTGTATGATTAAAACTGAATCTTACTCTACAGCCCAGGCCAACCTTGAAACTCATTGTGTTGTCCAAGCCAGCGAGCTTAAACCTGTGGTGATGATGATGACCCTCTTTTCTCACCCTTGAAAGTGCTGGGACTACTGGTGTGTATGCCCTCACTCAGCTCCCAAATATCTACTTTAAGTACCTTATACAGGACATCTAATTGAGCCATCTCTAGACTGACTGTTTTGAAGCAAAATCGACCGAGGATCTCATTTCTTCTTAGAAATCCACTTCAGTTTTTGAAGATTCCTTCCTGAATGATGTAACACTATCTTCTGTTATAAAAATTATATTCGTGATAATTTAAGACTAGTACTTTGGCCCTGTCTGTCACTTACTACATGTACTTCTCACAACAGAAATTCAGAAGAGTGTCAACATGGTGAACTCCATGGTGATCACTGCTCATATACAACACAGCTTTAAGCAGTGAGTGTAAATTCCCTGAGTCCTCACATCTGTGTGCAGAAGGAATTCCCATTATCCCCAGTTTACACGCCAGCAGTCTGGAGAATAGGAAGAGAAACTGTCTTTCCTAAAGTCAAAAGATTTTGTTTGGGCAAGAGTTTGAAACCAGGTGGCTTGGACTCAGACCATTTCCTTAATGGGCACATTTTAATCTCTCCACATCACTAAATCAATTAATTCTGTTCATCAACCTCCAGATTTTTACACAGAAAACTCCAGCAAAATCCATAAAAAACTATTTTCCACTCTACTGTGAAGGAAATCACAAGATGTTTTCTCTGATTGTCTTTCTACTGACCAAAATAGTCACTTGCTGAATGGTAAACAAAATCAAAACATATACATGAGGGACCAGAGAGATGGCTTGGTGGTTAAGAATGCTTGCAGCTGTCCGAGAGAATTGGAATTTTGTTCCTAGCATCCTTGACAGGCAGCTCACAGCTCAGAGCTAACCACCTATAATTCTAATTCCAGGGCATCTGACAACCCCTTCTAGCCTTCATGGGACCACTACATACATGAGGGGATAGATAGATAGATAGATAGATAGATAGATAGATAGATAGATAGATAGATAGATAGGTAGATAAAATTGTTTTCATACTGTCCTCAAACCTAGATATCAATAGATTGAGAAACAAATACCCATACATCCTCTAAAAAACCAAAAACATTGATGAATCTTAGAACTTATAGCATGCAAATGAAGATTTTTTTTTTTATGACTATCACAGGAAACAACAAGAAAGAACTATGAAGACCCATTTGTTTGCTGCTACCAAGGACCATGTCACAAATCATATGCTGGGGCAGCCATACAGAGACAAGGACAACTGTGGGCAATGAGAAAGTGAAGGACATGCAGGTAACCTTTGCAGTTCTGGCTGAATACAGCTGTAAGATCCAGGGCAGCTTCCTAGAGCCTCACAGTATCTTCCTGCCAGCTCTCTGGGCTCCAAGTTAAAGAGGTAAGGAATGCAAGTTCTCTTCAGACTAAGGCATGCTTTTGCTTCATTACATTAAAAATGTACTCAAAAACATCCCACATGTGCTTAGAAGTGCTAACAAACTCTCTAGAAAGTCATGGAGGTGAAATTCAAGACCGTCCATGTAATAATGGCTAAGATCTATAATTTTTCCACTTAAAGTTACCTGGATCAAGACAAGTTGGCAAGCTCTAGACAACTTAGAGAAATATGCCCAAGTAATTCTTGATTCAGTCTACTAACTATTCAGCCCTTCCAGGTATAAAAGAAGGATTAAAGTATATTTCTAGTATATGATTCTAACTAACAAAGAAGAACAAGGTTATTAGAAATGAAATATATATATACATATATATATTCCATACAATAAACTACGGTCACTGTTTCCCATCTCTCAACTCCTCCCACATCCTCCCTACCTCCCCAATTGACCAACTCCATGTCTTTCTTTCTCTTTAGAAAACAAACAGGCAAACAAACCAGAATAAAACAAACAAACAAAAATCCAACTTCTTCAACTTGCAAGGAAGACTACTCTTTGAAATATGGTCTACCTAGCAGAGGTGAATTCCAAATTCTGTGTTCAGTGTGTTGGATTTATAGGTAGACCTTTCATTGAGGTTAAAAGGTACCTAAGGCCATAGCTGCACAAGTCTTCTTCTAGGGAAAAAAAAACAAGCCTCCTTTCAAGATAAGTGTTTCTACTATGAAATACTGTGATAAATTCAGTTTTCTAAGATCTTGCAAAAAGAAAGTAGAAGGGAGAATTTGACAAGACAGATACAAATTGCACTGATAAAAATTTAGAACAAAAAGAGGTAATATCAACATAGAAGTTAAGACAAAAGAGATATTTTTAAAAGTGAACTCAGAGATGTAGAACCTAATTAAAATTCCAATACAAGAAGATCCTTTAATGTCAATGAAAACATACTTTATCAAGCCAGATAACTCAAAGATAAAGAGAACATGGCCAAACGACATGAAGCTGGAAGAGCAAGAGCAGCCTGGGACAGTAAAGGTGTTGCATGAGGTGGATGTGCATTAGCACTGTGGCTCCGTGGGCAGGGTTTCCTGTCCTGGGAGGGGTAGACAATCAGCTGTTGGTGCATGTAGGGCACAAGCTACCTAGCCTACTTATGTGAGCCACAGTGTTACTTCTCTTTGACTTAGTCTCCTTATTAAAAAATTAGAAATAATATTAGAAATAACCATCCCGGGTTATGAAAGTCAAATAAATATCTAAGTTCAATGGTGCTGTTTTTCTACTCTCTTTATAGCACAGGAAAAGAAAAATATAAATTATTTGTGTGTGTGTGTGTGTGTGTGTGTGTGTGTGTGTGTGTGTGTGTGTGTGTTATATTTACCTAAGTATACAGGTGCATGTACACACATACAGGTTTGGAAACCAGAGAAGGATGGATTTCTGGAGGTTTCCTCTATCACTATCCACCTTGTTGATTTGAGATAGTATCTCTTACTGACCAGAGGGTCATCATTTCGTCAAGGCTGGCTAGCCAGCTAGCTCTCAGGATCCACCCATCTCCACTCCCGTGTAGGCATACTCAGCCATGCTAAGCTTTCTACACAGGGGTTGGGGATTCAGACTCAGGTCCTCTTGCTTGAAAATCAAGCAATTTTACTCACTCAGCCATCTCACCTACACCTATAAACTACTACAAATCAAGGATAAAATTGATAATGAAGCTTAGCAACAACTATGTAAAAGGCAAGAACTGTAGACAAATTTCAGTTGCAAATAGGAATGCAAATCCTAGACATATTAAATTGGAAAAACATTAAACACAATTGCCACACAGGAAGAGTCACACTCTTTTGATTAAGCATCACCTCTTCTAGGAACTTTCCTGCATTGTAAAATTACACATGTGTGTCTGCACACATGTGTAACAAAATACACACACACACACACACACACACACACACACACACACACACACACCAAGGTTTGCTTTAGTATACTTTCAAATCACAAAAAGATTTCCTCTAGTGTGGTGCAGCTTATACTCATGCCATGGATACACTAAAATATCGATACCATAGAGTTCTCAAAATGAAGAACTGTTTATGTCCAATATGGTAATGGTTTCAGAGATAATTTTTGTATAATGCATGGCTTATACCTCCATAGAAGTGGAACAGGTTTTAAAACTACATAAAAATTTACAGATGGCAGTGTTTTAATCTCAGCAATATGCTAAGAGAAGGGGAACTTTGTTCAAAATACCACATATTAGTAAGACTGCTTAAGTACATGTGCATGTGTGTATGCATGTGTGCATGCTTGTGTGTGTGTGTGTGTGTGTGTGTGTGTGTGTGTGTGTGTGTGTGTGTGATACCTTTGAAACATTAAATGAGAAGCTGGCAATGCTTACTGATTCTTCTAGGAGAACCAAATTTCTGAGAAAGAAGCAGGAAATTTCATTACATATTTTTAGTTTTAAAATAAATATATGAATAATCCACTTATTAAAATCAAATTAAAGTAAGTAGTACATTTATTGATTGTTAAGTTAAATAACAAATAGTCTATTCTCACTTAAGTCAATTAAATGAGATAGCTCACAGTATGCCTGTCATTTAGTAAATAACAATCTACTGCCAGCATTGCTTTACCAGATATGGACGTGAAAATATAACTGTGCTCTGTAAGAAGAGGCTGCAAACAGTCACTAGGATGTGAACACTCTGCTGAGTGAGCTTACTGGAGCATGGTGTCATGGAAAGGTCACCGATGTGGGAATGTTATAAACTAGATTTTCACTCCAGGATGGATAATTACTATTTGCCTTTCAGGAACTGATTTACCTCCATACCATCAAGTTACTTATTATTATTATTATCTATTACTATTACTATAAGTTGGGGATATTAATACCTTATCCTAAAGAAGCAACATCTAAGATTAACTAATACATATGTCTCATCCATTACCTGTCACAATAATATGCATAGTTCATAACTACTGTTTATTTTTTAACTCCTACATGTTTTTGCTAGATGTAGGAATATAAATTTGCTCAATTTAAAACTCTATGAATTTGCATATTAATGATAAATATAATTGAAATTTTCATGTTGTAAATAATGGAAATAAATACATTTCAAGGTTTGCTGGGAAGGAAAATTTCTACTCTACACATCTGAAATTCAGAAAACGTGAGCCAGAGACAGAGCAGAGACATGCTGAAACAGACATTTGATATGGAGATTGTATGTCTGGCTATTCCTATTTGGACAGAACTTTCCAGGCCTTGACATACAATCCCTTAGACCTCTCACATAGGAAAACAACTAAAACCAGCAAGGTTATACTATATTCTCATCAATAGGTAAGTGGCCCTTACTCAGTGAATAGACATAATACCTGCCCACAGGACACTATTATCTTTTTATTCAAGGCTAGAAATAGAAAAACAAATGTTCACGTCAAACAAAGACCTTCCTACCCTTATGACTTGAGACCAAAAATATAGCATACAATCAAATTACAATATATACAATAAAAATATGTCCATTCAGTGCTGTCTTATGTAATACTTTGTTCACCATAGGTATTGTCTACTAGGGACAAAATACCAGGAATATATCCTAGAGAGAATGAGAAGAATATGGGGTTTCTAAGTTACATTGGGAATACCCACTAAAGCACATAAGTCACAAATAGACACAGAAGCATTTTCCAAAAAAGAAATGTGTATCTCTTATAGACATAGACCCAGGCCCAAGGATGTGGGTTGTAAAGAAAATGACTTGTGCAAAGTTGTGTTAAGAGCTTAAGAAATAGGGTTCTCTATATGTGGGCGGGATGCCACTGGAGACAGAGATCTCTATAACAGTATTCTGACATACACAAGAGAAAAGAAAGAGGAGTCACATGGGAACCATCAGACTAACCAGTTCTCTTTTAGCTTGACTAGGATAGGATCAGAAACTGTCTAGCTGATGAAAATACTAACTGGCACAAAGTTCTTATTCGTTAACTAGTTACCTTCACAACACATAGAATACCCTCATTAGTCGCTGGGTCTGTTGTGATTTTGAAGCGCCCATTTTCATTTCCTTTTAAGATGGTAAAATTTGCCTTCCAGTTGGCACTCTTAATCAAGTCCTTATCATCTACAGGTATGCGCAAGATTTCAACATTGTATGTGTTTTCCTCCACAGAGGTTTCATACTGGAAGAAAAGAAAGTCATTAAAAAATTTACTTACTATTGAACTTTCACAAAGTAAAATGTTTCCTAATTTCCAAAAGAAATTGCCTTCATGGTGTTTACATAGACTACCTAAAAACACAATCACAGATAGTATTGTTTCATGAAACTTTAAGACAACAAATATTTCCTACAAATGTAGACTGATGTTATTGCCCTTCAACAAGAGGCAGCTATCAGAAACACTAAATCGGGAAACAGGCCATGTGTAGATGTGTACACTATATATTTGAACTGCAGTTATATTCATAAGTGAACACGTGCCTCAAAGCATGTCAAAAACTTTATAAGCCCGGATTAGTAAAGAGAAATAGAACAAATATAGATTTGTATGTTCTAAACTTACAGCATTTTGTCTGAATGTGGGTGCGTTGTCATTGGAATCTTGCACTGTTATGATACAAGTTGAGGTACTGATTAGTCCAAAAAATTGGCCATTCATGTCTTGGACTTTCATTATCAATGTGTATTTGTCTACAACCTGAAAGTAAAACAATTATTTAATTAACTCAGATTATTTAGATTCATAAATAAAACCCGTGTTGCACATTCTTTTCCTTGTTTTTATTTTATTTCTACATTTGGATATATTCTTAAACTTTGGTAGAGAAAGGTAATTCCGAAGAAGTAGTACTTTACAAAAAGACATACTAAGAATTTAAACATTTTCTAACAGAAAACAGGAAAGTCAGAGATGGAGTGCAGAGTAATGACATTTGAGTTTTATAATACTCTCGAGGAAATGCAAGCATTTTCTAGAGCAGTAATTCTCAACCTGTGGGTCGCGACCCTTTTGGGTCAAATGACCCTTTCTCTGGGACCACTTAAGACTATCAGAAAACAAGGGTATTTACATTACAATTTGTAATAGTAGCAAGATTATAGTTATGAAGTAGCAGTGAAAATAATTTTATGGTTGGGGGTCATCACAACATGAACTGTATTTATGGCTGCAGCATCAGGAAGGTTGAGAACCACTGGTCTAGAGTAACTTAATCTAGTGTCATACTGTGAACAGGTAGGGAACCCCTACACTAGACAGGTGGTCCAAACCTGAGGCAGTAGAAACAAAAGCAAAGAGAAAAGGAGTTGAAATGTATTTGGGAGTTAGAGTAGAGTGAGATTTGATAATCAATTATTCACTTAAGAGATAAAGAGGTGCTTGAGTATGATATGGTAGACCAGGTTATACAGGTAGATAGACAAGGTCACCACCAGCCACCATGGGAAGTCCAGAATAAGACGGCTCTCTAAGGGAGGCAACATTGCAGAGGAGGATAAGGAGAGCTGTGGACATGATGGGATTTGTTTGTTTGTTTGTTTGTATATTTATTTATTTATTTTGTACGTGCAGGATTTTATCTGCCTAATGAGATCTAATAAGCAAGAACCCAGAACTCCTAACTGTGTGATCCACCCCTCATGGCAGGAGGTGGTGGTGGGAAGGCATCCTTCAGGTTTTGATGAGAGGAGCTGAGCCATGATGAGTGACAGCCTCCTCAAGCACAGGGAAAAGAAGACAACTAAGCAAAGAGTATGTATGAAGAAGGAACTGACAAAAAAGCAAGAGGAGAACCACAAATTCAAGGTAAAGGCTTTAATATGTGGCAAGCACAGAGACTAAAAGGCCCTTGGAAGGCCACAGATGACCTCTAAGCATGGAGTAGGGCCCAGGACATGAAGAGATTTTTGGAGATGCACAGTCATTATTGCTGCATTTTCTTCGGTTTTACTTGTCTCCAACCACCCCTTCTCCTGGCTTTTTATTTCTAGAGTCTTCTTCTCATCCTCCAGCCTTCTGTTTATGTGCTCTCCCTTTCTCACTAGAAGTCAGCCTTCTCACCGCGAGGCACTCCTCCAGTAGTCTTCAAGACACTGGTAACCTGTGCTTTTCATCTAACTTTCACGATTTGTAATCTCTTTTGTTCATCCTTGTCTTCACCCCTTGTGTCGCTCTGCACAAAATGTCTGTTCACACAAAGTCCCATTATATTTTTGTTTGAAGCCTGAGAATAGATCAGGTTGGGAACCTTAAAAAGTGTAATAACCAAGTCTTATAATCTTTAATTATTTTATACTGCTTAGCCTCATCAATTTTAATCTGTAAGATGGGGGAAAGCCATTTTCAATTAATTAACATACCCATTTTTACATACTAGAACTGCGTGGAAGTATCCATAGTGTATCTTACAACTTTCTCATTTGTTACTGTGATGACTAATCTCCATCATCAGCCTGATGGAATTTAGAATCACCATGGAAACAAACATGCAGGTATGTCTGCTCACAAGGGAGCTACTCACTTAGGTGAACTGAGATGGGAAGACACGTGAATGTGGGCAGCACAGCTCCACAGACTGGGCTCTGGACTGCACAGGAGAAACCAGCGGAGCAGCAAGAATTCCTCTCTCTCCTCCCGCTGCAAGTGCGATTGTGACCAGCTGCCTCAAGGTCCTACCACCGTGACTCCCGGCCCTGACAGACTACACCCTTGGACTAAACCCCTCCTTCCTTAAGTTGCTTTTATCAAGTATTTTTGCAACTTAAACAGTTAGTGTTGTTCCAAGCTTTACCACATAAATGTTCCAAAGTTACAAAAAATTAAACGGTGGTAACAAAAACCTCTGTACTAGTTTGTATCCCTTTCTGTAGATCCCCACATCCCTTCCTCTTTCCTTTGGAGTCACACTTCATTGATAGTTTTCATAACACTTGTCTTTGTCATAGAGATCATTCTAGGTACATTATCCTAGCTATAGTGGAGATCGTGGACATGTCCCAATAAAGTCATTTTGTACATGTGGTTCATCTTCTTCGGTTGATAATGCTTGACTGAGTTAAGCAGTTAACCAAACAGAGAAATGATAACAAGAGATTCAAGGACTTCTTGAAATAATTTGACTTGAGCAAACTAATCAATTTTTCTATCATATGTCTCCTACATAGGTTGGATATTTATTATACCTTCCTAATCAATCAAGTAAAAAAATTTAAACACCAAGTAACATTCACATAAAAAAGTTGAATACAATTACCACACATGTGACCGTATGCTATTACTAGCAAATTTAATTTTATCCCAAGTAATACTTCCCTTTTTAAAAACTGCACACAGCTAAGCCTGGTACATTCAGTTGAGGCTGTACCCCCATGGGAGAACTTACCCTGTTGGAGGAGCAGGGAGAGGGGGGGGAAGAGGGAAGAGGGATGAAAGGGAGGGAGTCTGTGGTTGGTATGTAAAATGAATAAAAGATTAAAAAAAAAACTGCACATAGCTAAACTAACTGAATAGGGATCCAGATAAGAACCATACTCACCAAAAAGAGTTAAACCTTATTGCCCTGCATGACTGCAGAAGCCTCTACTGCTCTGCAGCCACCTAGCTTCACACATTAAAGGAAATAAAATAATATGCAACAGTTTTCCTAAGAAACACACTGTAACCTCCCTTTTAAACAATCAAACTCTATCTCTATTTCCTAAGGTTTCTCTTACATATGGAAATAGAAATAATCTTTAAAAAATAATGTTTAGGAAACATTCCAGGAATTTGTATTTTCTTGTACTTCAAATAAAATACAAAACAGAACAGCTAGTCTAGTAAGTGGGAAAAGAGTTAAACCCACACTACCTCTCTGTCCATGTAGTGAGAGACGGTGGTGATGACGCCCGTGTCAGGGTGTACAGAAAAGAGCCCAGGTGACCGTGGGTTCTGCTCCAAGATGCTGTACTTGAGGCGCGTGTGCATCGTGTCCGGTTCATCTTTATCTGTGGCGCAAACCACTCCCACCACAGTACCTATGTGTTTAAAAAGAAAATTTGAACTTCCAGAACAGCACAATGTGTTTGGTGTCTACACTTTTCAACTTGTCTGAGTGACCGTGGAAACCTAATTTAAAATGTGAATCTGCCCAAGTGAATCACATCTTTAAACAGGATATAGGAAGAGGGCTTCTAATGGAGAATCTAAGCATTCTGGCATTGAGAGTCACAGATTAAAATATTTGATGGTAAATTATTAAAAACTAAATGTCAGTCAATAGGAAATTCAGAGCAGGGCATGAATTTATATTCATGCAGGTTATAAGCAGGTTATACTTGTATTACCAACACTAAGGAGGCTGAAGCAGGAGGGATCAGGAATTTGAGATCAACCTGGGCTATATAGCAAGGCCCATCTCAAAAACAAACCAACAAGGCTAAAATAATATCGATATGAATTCCAACATATTGCAATAAAAAGCCAACTAGAGGTATAAACCATGTCTTCTAAAGTAATTTAGTCTTCTTTTTATCAGACTTAATTAATAGCTAAACTAAGACTGAGGTTAGTATAGTTATGTAAGTGATCAAATTGATTTTTAATTTAATTTATTAATTTATTGGGGGATATGCCGAAGCACATATGTAAAGGCTAGAGAAGAATTTGCAGGAATCAGTTCTCTTCTATCATGTGGGTCCCAGGAATCAACTCAGGCCGTCAGGCTTGGTGGCGGGCTCCTTTACCTGCTAAGCCATTTCCTAAGCTCTCAAGGCGATCTGTTTTAGTCCACCCTTTGATCTCCTCTCATGGGAAGACATTTCTCTCTGTCTCTTTCTTGCTGTCTGCTCTGATTTGACTTCTTATTTGATTTATCTCCAAGAGCTTCACAACATTGACAGGTCAAGTCTGAATGTAATGGCTTCAACTAACCCAGGTTAATGGAAGCCGAAGTGTTTGTCCTTGATCTCCAGGGAAAACTGAAACCTAGAACCACTCTTAGAACCAGAAACACGGAATGGGGCCATAGAATCATGAAGCTGAGAAATATTTTTATATATACACCTCATGCTCCTCTGACATGATGTGTGTGTGTGTGTGTGTGTGTGTGTGTGTGTGTGGGGGTGGGTGTGTGTGTTTACAGATGCAAGAACTCAAAGACTGCCATGCCTCCTCCCAGTGACTTAAAAATACAACATGTGTGAGAAACTGTGTTTCCTAAACTCTAAACTGTCCATCTTAATTTAATTTCACATGTGTGCAAAGAGGATATTAACACTGGACAATCAAATTGTCACAGTAAAATAAGGATAAGAAATGCAGATATAATACAGTAAGGACATAAGCAATGACCAGAAATCTTAGAAGAAAAAATACTACCATCTTTAATTCCGGGCCTCGAGTCTCACTGTATGCTGGTGTACACATTTCATAATGCAAGCCTCAGAAATAAAACATGACAAATGCCACAGAAATAAGACAACTTGTTTCCCACATAGAAAGAGAATGCTTAGGATAGAACCTGTGTGATCGAAGTGTCCCTCAAATTATTTAGTGTTTACTCTAAGTTATATGTAGTAAAGTAATTCAAGAAAACAGACATTTAAAAAGAACTTAAAAACTGTATCCTCGGTCTCTATCATTTGATACTTTTCCACAGTCCCACTGAAATATCTATACTACATTTGTTTTGACTGTTCATTCTACCCTGTGTCTCCTCTTGGAAAGGGGGATATGATAAAACCACATAGCAAGAAGACAAAGTAAGATGCATATTACAAACATCATACAAAGCCTGACTAATGGCTGCATCCCATGATTGATAATTACTGCCACACTGACCATGGCAGAAATTCCTGTAGTACATAGTAAGACCCATGTTGATTGGAATTGATGGGATTTGACTAATGTTTTCTGATAAGTAGATCCCAGATCAGTGTTATCTGATGATCAACTGGCCATGAATATAAAAACCCCAATGGGGAGAAAGGTCCACTGAAAAAGTGTTTGTCTTGTGAGCACAAGGACCTGAGTTTGATCCCCAGAATCTACACTTAAAAAGAAGCTGGTAATGATGGTGTACTCAGAATCCCAGGGCAGGAGAGTCAGAGACAGGTGGATCTCCAGAGCTCAATGGCCGGCCAGCCTAGCCTACTTGACAAACTCCAGGCCACTGAGAAAAACACTGTCTCAAAAAAGAAGGCAATTGTTACTTGAATATGACAGGGAAGATTGTACTCTAGTTTCCGTGCATAAGCAAGTGCACGCACGCACACACACACACACACACACACACACACACACACACACACACACAAATCTGTGCCCACATGCGCGCACGTGCATACACACACACATGAATGCACACATGCCTGCATGCACACACACAATGCAAAAACAAAAACAAAAAATAAATACCCCACTGTCTCAAGGATATACACAAACATGTTTGACATAGAAACAGCCTTACCAAGTCTACTGCTTTCTGGAACTTCAAAATTATAAATTGCTTCCGTAAAAAGAGGGTAATTGTCATTTTCATCCTCTACTTTGATGGGCAGTGGGAGAGGTAAATCGGCTGAATAGCCGTCTGCAGTGGATGCGTAGGCGATCAACTGTGGAAGAGAGTAAGGCCATGTCAGCAGCCAGTCAACCTCACAGCACAGGGGAGAGGAGACGCCCTGTACCCTTCCCGTGAGTCCTTCCAGCAGTAAGCTACATCATCGATGTTCCACACTGAGATAATCAAAGCAATGGGTTTTCAGTATAGGGAGAAACAACTCCACTTCAGATAAAGAACAGGTCAGAATGTAAAGAAGTTGGAGATGAAGTCCCATGTGCATTATTCTGAGGGGTTGGGTGTACTTGTAACTCAGGTTACAGTCTTTAATCTCTCTGTCATCAGTAAGTTTCATTGGGAGAATGGTCAACTAATGGCCACTGGAAAAGTTTCTTCTACATAATCTATAAAGCAAATCCCCCCCACCCATCTAGTCATTTCTGGACTCTTATTGCATACCTTTAAATAGTTCCTAATACAAAACACATTTACTAATTCCCTCATTGCTCATTAATCAAAAGAAATGTAACATCAGACAGAATGTAGTTCTGAATGTAGTTCTGCTCAGTGTGTAATTATATCAAGAACGTTTTATAGCCCAAGGCAAAGAATGCCACATGAGGACATCAGTCAGATTGGTTCCTCAGAACCTCTTTTGTCTTCTAGAAACAGACTCCTTCTTCCCAGTGGAGCTGCCTTCTTGTTGAACTTGGTTCATGACAGCAGAGCACATTCTGCTCTATAATGGAAACTGTCTAAGTCAGTCCCCCACTGAAAGTACATCTATCCATATCAGAAAGCTGAGCTACTAGCCTTTAGTTAGACTTTGTTTCCCACTTTTCTTCCTTTATCTAGTTATCAGACACAATCAGAGAGTAACACATGTGGAAGAAAGGCAAGAAAAGAAAGGCAGAACAGTGGAAAAAGACCAGCTGTGGATCTGTCTAGGGAACTGAAAATGTTCTAGCAACCAGAGATGATGTCTGACAAGCTAAACCAAACTCGTACAACTGTACTGAGTTTTATGTTCAAATACAAGTAAACCTCTTTGCTTCATTTCAGGATTGCCTAACCAAAGCTGAGATAAAGGGTTGAGCAAGCATTCCAACATACAGTGAATGCTATTGTCCTTTGACTTTCCAACAGTCTCTAAGAATGCAAGAAGAAAAGAGCAGGTGAGCATCAGAAGACAGACAGTTCATTAATATAGAGCCATATTTATCAATAAAGCACCTACATCAAAAACATCATATTCCTCACGGTCCACAGGCCGAGTACAATACAGATTCCCAGTGTCTCTCTCTATGAAAAACAAATTCAGTGGTTCTTGGTCGACTCCACGCCCACTTATTGAGTATAAGATGGTATAGTTCTGAGCTGCATCAGACTGAACCTGAAAGGAAAATACACAGAGGTAAGCACTTAGAATTAAATTTAAATGCTAATTTGTGAGAAATATATAGACAACATTTCAGTAGAATAGAACAATATAACTTATAGTTGGTAAGGGTAAGGCCATGGTACATGTAGGAAATCAGAGGATAACATGCGGGAATGAGGTCTCTCCTTTCACCATGTGGGTCCCAGCGATAACACTCAGGTGTCAGGCTTGGTGGCAAATACCTTTAACACTGAGCTGTTTTGCAGACCCTTGCCCTACTATTTTCTTTACAGCTGAGCCCAAAGATGCTGGGAAGAAACTCCATCTAAATTGCAGTTAGGTATGGCTACATGAGGGCAAGTCAACGGGTACACAAAACTAATATGAACAAAAAAATATAATATAATAATAAAATGTACTAATATAAATAATTATGACAGATTGTGTAAACAAAATAATAAATATCTGTGAAGATTTGGGGTCTAGAAGGTGAAGAATGCAGTCTCACTTTCGAACACAAGGATAAGCCATTTTGACCACACAAAGGTGACCAAGCTAAGTCTGTGTCCCAACATATGTGGGACTGAGGCAGGAGGATTATAAGATTGAGGCCGCCCTGAACTACACATTGAGACCTCATCTCGCTTTTACCCCTTCCAAGAAGAAAAGGAAACAGGAGCCTTTTGCTCTTGGTGCTGTCTTCATACTCTAAAACTGCTTCACTGGAGAACACTTTCGCAGGAGAGGAACAAGCATCTCTACCTAAGCTGGTACTTTCTGAAATTTCAGTAAAATTAGCTATACTGTGGACCAGTACTCAATTTCTTTCTGTCTCCAATGCATAGAGCAGTGTCTACAATACCATATAATGCATATTGATACCCAACCATCTCCTAAAGAAATGAATAAATGATTAAAGGCACACAAAGGTTGTATAGGTTGTCTTACACCATTAGTACATCAGTCATTTTCTTATTTTATTCATTTGTATTGTATTTCATGGACAACTTTGGTCATATCTGCATATTTTTTAATGTTTAGCTATTTGCTAAATCAGAGTCAAACAGACGTTCCACTCAGCAGGACCACAATCAGAAAGAAAGACTCTACCTACCTGTTGAAGAAACAGTGGGAAGGGACCCAGGGAATTCTCTTGCATAGAACAAGGAATGGGTGCCCATCGTCTCTTGGCTCTCCTGAGGACAGTATCCTTCGTGTGTCTTTTCTTCAGGACCTGCATTTACAGGAGAAAATAAGTATCAGAAGCATCACAGCCAGACAAACCACGGAAAGGAAATGCATGTCCCTCACTGCTCCATCTACATGTGTTGTTCAAGATGATAGCCACTGGCCACCACTAGGCATGGGATGGTTGGTGTTAATTAATTTAAATGGGGAACTCTACCCTTTTGTGGCACTAGTTGAATGTTAAGCACCCAGCAGCCATTAATATCGGGTTACTGTACCAGACACTAGAGATTAGAGAACATTCTACAACATTTCTATAACTGCAAAATGTTCCATCAGATGCTTTAGAAATAATAATTTTATTTCATGTAGCAAAAAGAGACACTTAGTTTCATGGTCATTATTAACAACTAATAATTTTATTAAATATTCAGTAAAGTGCTAAGCAGTCATTTAATTAGTCTTACCACTCACTCATTAGCATAGATTAGGTACAGGTCAATTGAAATCTTACATCATTTTGTGACTACATTCACAAGGCTGTTTCTCATGAGTAAGTGTGGGCACTAATAAGGAATCCTAAAGGCTGTGATGAAAGAGGTCCCAAACTGATCCCAGAACACAACTGACAGTAGGTAGAAATCAGAGCTAGACAAAAGCTTCACAGAAGAGGGATATTATAACAGTTAACACCAGAAAACCCAAAGCCAGCATTTAACTGGTGTTGAGAAAGAGTTAGAAACAAAAGACAAAGGAAGAGAATAGAGGAAGAAGGGAAGAAAAATAATAGGAATAAAACAGGACAGGAGAGGGGGGAGGGAAAAGAAATGAGGAGGGAGGGATGGCGGGGGTGGGGGGGAACAGCAGGGGAGAGCAAAGACGCTATTGCTCCATTGGTCCTCTTTGCCATTTTTAAGGAATTTTACTGAAAAAAGTCCCATGCTTGAGAATGTCCAGTGCACTTGCATACCTTCTTCTGGTGCTCCAGGATTACTTGGATCTCTTTCTGTGTCTGTGTCTTTGAGTCAGAAAGCTGAATGGTAAACGATCTTTTCTCACCAGACAACACAAGAGTTCTGGCTGGATAAACTGACCCATCATCTAGAACTCTGAAATCAGGATCACTTGGCCTGATGCCATCAGCAGAGCTGAGACACTCTTTCACATTAACTGCCCGCAAAAATTTTCCAGTTGTAAGGTGGAGATACATGCATAAAGGAAACGCATATGTTAAAATAATGTATGTGATCATGAAAACCAAGCACTTTGCATTTGTAGAATGCCTTAATAGCCCTCTTTTATTCTTAATAATAATAATTTCATTTTAATTAAAGATGACGATTCTTGGGTGTATGTTTCTATTGAATAAGATGTTTTAAACATTATCATGCTTCTAGTAGGCTTATGAAAATGATCTTCCACTAAAGGGGTGTGCACATGACTCTCACGACAGAGGTGAGCCACACACCCTCAGGTGCACCTGAATAAACACAGTTGAAATTTCCCTCAACAACACACTAAGGGTGTCTTCAGATGCACCTGCCTGTAGTCAGAAGATACACACAGAAGCGCAAAGAACAGGAACATACAAGCTGTCAAGTAAGACAAACTGGTCCCTGAGTTCTTCCCATAGCACTTTTTTGTACAATCCAACCCCAAAGACACAGCTTTCCACGGCCCTCTATGGGAACACCACATGGCACCTTCCCTATCTGGGAAATTTGCCTCCTAATAAAAGATAATAATATTTAAGAATCAAAACACAACTGTTTCCCATCCATTCTTCATCTGCTTTTACAGAAACCAAACTGACAATGCCCAATTACCTCACCTAAGAGTCCTTTACTTCATGTGTATCTTTGCTTTAACCTAAATCTGTCATGGGTGGTTTTAACAAAAATAATAGATGTTTCACCAAAAGTCAGTGAATGCTCTATGAGCTAACAGTATATATACATCTCTCATCTTTATATATATATTAGCTGAATGATTCCTTCTGGTTTATTTTCCCAGAGGAACAACCTATCTATCTTTACATCTTTCTTTTCTTCTTTCCCACAGTAGAAAAAGTGATATTAATTTGATTAAATTAGCTGAGATAGGTTAGTCAGAAATTGAACACTTTGTTGAAAAGGCCATTTTCATATTTCTTGAACAAGTATTTCTATTTAAAAAATCAAAAATAATAGCAGTTTCCTCTAATTTATCTAAACCCACATTAAAAACAAAAAACAAAACAAACAAAAAACACCTGGGCAAAACTTTCTAGCTTCTAGGAGAAATTGAAGTTCATTCAGCTTCTCAGGTCTCCATTTTAAAATGGCTAACTTTGTGCAGTTCAGAGGAGAATGGTACACTTTGTTATGCTTCTTAATAAAGGGGTAAAACTGATCACAACACTGTTCCATGGGTGTCAAGATGGCCTAGTGAGTGAATAAAAGTGTTTGCTGCCAAGCCTGACACCCTGAGCTTGATCCCTGATGCTCACAGAATAGAAGAAAAGAACAAAAACCCCAAAAAGTTGTTCTCTGATCTACACACACACACACACACACACACACACACACACCATAGCACATGTGCACAAACACAAAATAAATAAATAATACCTAAGTTTAAAATAAAGGAATGCTACAGTGTTTTTCTTCAATATTCATCTATACTTACACAATTCTTGGACCCCAGAGTATTAAGAGTGTGATATTTTAACCTGTTAAAAGATTAATGACTACAAAATCATGTATTGGAAAACTTGCAATAGAATTAACCACCAAATCCAACAGAAATAAGGGCAAAAATGTATATTTGAAATGATAATGAATTGTCTCCATTTCTAAGTCAATCCAGAGGGCAACGATGACACACCACGCTCCTGGCAAACTAAGGACACTACATGTCTGTTTCAAATCAACTGTTCAGAAAGTCCTCACCTCTTCCAATTATCTGGTCTGCTTTTAGTGTCGAAGGGACATTTAATGTCACCTTTTTACAGGCTTCACCAGCAAAACTGAAGACCTAGAAAATTTAAAATATCACATTAATTCATCAGAGAATAAGAAACAAACTACATGGTCATCTCAGTAAATGAAGAACAAATGTTTGACAAGCTCTTCCTGACATTTATGACAATGGCCTCACCATTCTAGTGACATACAAGAACTTATTTAACAGTGTCTATGTTAAACTGATGACTAAGCTCATACTTAAGTGAAAATGACTAAATACTTTCCTCTGTTATTGGAAATAAGACAACCATGCCTACTCCATTACTTCTATGTGATATTATATTAGTGTTTCTAACCAGGGCACTTACACACACAATTTTTTTTTTATTTCAATATATAAATGGACTGGTAAGGAAGAAATAAAACTTTCTAGTCGTAGATGTTATATTCATATGCATATATACACATATTCATACATATACACACACACGTACACAAGGATTTTTACCATATTGGGGTTAGCGACAAAACAAATAAATGAATTTAAAAAGACTAAGAAATAAGATGAACATACAAAGTGAATTGCTTG